ACCATTTAGAAATGACAAATTTCCTATTATGCTGCCTGACAGTTTTTGTTGCTAGAGTCATCTGGGTTACTTTTTTCTATTAGCTACTAGGACCCATGACACAATGAAATCCTGAAATGGACTTCTTCAAATTGCAGCAATTTTCCTCTTTGCTGCATGTGGTGAATGAATTGGACAATATGCTGTGTCACCTCTGGCTAACAATGATAGCTGATATGACAGAAGGGATCTCCATGCTGGCTCTTGTAATTAAAAGAAAACAATGTTTAATCAGTGAAAAGGTTAAATCTTTTAAGATGGACCTAAAATGAGACAAAACCCAAGGATCTAAAGTTGGATTAGCAAATGAAAGGAGCTCTAAGGAAGTCTCTGGCAATTTGGCTGAATTAAAATATGTAAACTGAGCATTATAAAGCCATGCCTCTGCATGACTGATAGATGTATAAGAGAACAAATGGAATCATGAAAGGTGATTGGGTGGAGTCCTCATTTCCTACACCAGGCCAGAGCAAAAATGCTTCCTCATTAGACCCTTTTTTGTGAGAAGCTATTTATTTATTGTGCTTTTGAGTCAGTTTTTGACTCCTGACCTGGACTAGTCCCTGTAGCTTTTGGAACTTTCAGAAGTGGTTTTTCCCTGCCTAGGTCTGACAGAGACTGACTAGCCCAAGGTCATCCAGCTGGCTTCATGTCTAAAGTGGAACTAGAACTCCTGGTCTCTCATTTCTAGCTTGATGCCTTCACTGCTACTCCAAACTTTCTCTATGTGAGAATCTCAAAGGTGCTTCTTCAAAAGGCAACTGGACAATGCTTTTTCTTGAGGAAGATGTTTCACTTCTCATCCAAGAAGTTTCATCTCAAGAAAAAACTCAGTCCAGTTGCCTTTTTAAAAAGCACTTTTGAGACAACCATGACATGGAGGATGATTGAGAAGTTCCATAGACACTCTGTGAGGAGTTATTGTAGAGCATCCACCAAAGCAGAACCTTGTTCATTTGTGAGTTTCTCTTAAGATTTCTCAATATAACTGGGGGGAGAGGGGGAGAAGGAAGGAAGGGGATGGAATTAATTAACAACAGGGGAAGGACAGATAAAAGTACAGTAAGGAAATACTGGAGCTTTCCTTTCAGTTTACAGAAACTTCTGATCTCCTAAGTTGTCCTTCAGAGTGCTTCCCCAATTCATTGACTTTGTGAAAAAGGTATGAATAAGATAGGTGATATTCAATACAGGGCACCCAACTGCAGCTGCAAGTATAGGAATCCACATGACTGCCTAAGGCAAAACTGAATATATAAATAAGTCTACAATTGCTTGTGCAAGGTCTCATTTTACAGCTTCTTCAAAAGATTTGAGAAGAGGAGACGAATAGTTACTTAATAGTGAGGTGGTTTTATAAATAAGAGGAATATCCACTGTCCCAATAGAGATGCTTCTCCTTGCCCTCAGATGATAGAGTAGTGGCTGATGCAACTTTAGATTGGCAGATTAAAAAGAGAAAGATATTTGTTGTCTTAATTGAAATTCTGAGTGTTCTCTGCAGCAGGAAGAGTACTTAGTTATTTCTGTAGAAGACCTATTATAACCTGGTTCCATCTTACCATTGATTCTACAATAAAAAAATTAATAAACAGCCCAGAAGCTACATTTGCCTCTCCGTATATATGATCAGTGTTAAGAGAAAATAAAGATTACTTCTCATATTAAGAGAGCACCAGATAGACAAACACACCAAAAGCCTACCTTCCTCACTGATGTCCTTTAAGGAAAATATAAATGCAATCACTTATTTTTCCTCCAGTGCATAAGTTCTCCCACTAATATAAACAGACTTACAACTACCAATGTTGAAGACTGGAGCATGGATATTGTCTTTTTTCTCAAAAGCCAGCTTAATTGTTCTGCATCTCTCACTGTATACTGAATTAACAGAATTCCATTTTTCATACTCTTTCTTTAAATTTCCTTTAATACTCATATTAATCCGATTCCTCCAGCTTAGAACATAACGAGGAAAAGGAAGCTTCAATTTGCAATTAAATCAGTTTGATTTTAGCTTATAATGAGAGTTATAATCTAGTGCCGTGTTGGCAAACCTATGGCATGCAAAGCCATTTCCTCCGGCACGCAAGAGGTTGCCCGGAAGAGTCCCACTGCGCATGGGCGCACGCCACCATTCGACAGCTGCTTGTCGGGTATCTGGCACACATGCGCAGGGGGCGGGGGTTGCATGAGAGACCTACACACATGCGCAGATGCGCAGCACATGGGGTGTCTCGCGAGCATGCACAGGGACGCATGACGCACGGGATCGTGCGAGTATGTGCAGTGATGTTTGGCGCATGAGGGGGAAACGTGCGTGCATGCACAGAGATGTGTGGCGTGCAAGGGGGAATTGTGTACACATGCATAGAGATGTGTGCAAGGGGAAATTGTGCATGCATGCGCAGAGATGTGTGGCGCATGAGGGGATCGCACATGCATGTGTAGAAATGCATGGCACGCAAGGGGGGTCACGAAGGCATGCACAGAGATGCGTGGCACAGGGATTGTGCAAGTATGTGCAGGGGCGTGCGGGGGGCCAGCACGCATTGCCTTCTGGGTGCGGGCACCCGAGCGCGCACACAATTATCAGCATGGGAGCCGAAAAAGGTTAGCCACCACTGACCTAGTGCATATAGTATCTGAAAGTTATTTCTAAGTAGATGTACAATAAGGTGATTTATAAACTATTTTGAAAATTTAAAAAATGGAAGCTAATGAGATTTCAATTGAAATCTATGGAGAGTAGAATTCCAACCTTTTCTTCCAGTAGTTTTTCTGGGCATCCCATTCTTGCTTTTACTAAGAAATTAGTTGATTATGGATGTTACAGAAGATATGGGATGTTTGCTCAGTTACAAGTTGTTTTACCAAAGTAGTTGTTCGTAAATTATTTAAAAATTCTCTTCTCCTTCCCTTATTCCTACATTTAATGCATCTGGATAGGAGTGGCAGGTGTGTTTCACTCTTTCATAATCCTCCCGGCATTCATTTCAATAGAAATTCCTGATAAGCTTTCACATTTTCCAGTTGAATGAGAAAAGAGGGAAAGGGAGAGGCCATGAATGAATACAAAATGACGTTCTCATCAATCATTAGTCTCCAACCATTGCAAGGAATTGCAAGTAACTAATGAAAGTGGAATTAACTTATAAAGTCAGCATTAGTGTCAGCGGAAATTATTTAAAATTTTAAAGTCATACAAAGTGTTTTCTTTGGCTATTGATTAAACTCACACTTAGGTGAACACTATGTTTCTTGAATCTAGTAAAGAGTGAGTAGCATGCTTTAATTAAGCTTGAAAGGTCTACAAGAGAATTCAAGCAAATGTTGAGAGTATTTTTATTTATTTATTAAATATATATGCCACCCCTCTCGCTGTCATGCAACTCTGGGCGACTCACAGTCTCATAAAACAATATTATAAAAGTTCAAGACAATAAGAGTCCTGCGTGCAGTTAAATTGCACACAAACCACTGATTTCAGTAGTGATATGCAGAGTCGAAGCCCAAATGTCTTACTGAACTAGGAGCACAGTAAATAAGCACACTGTAGAAAAAGAGTGGAATGTGGAATTGTCTCAATCTCAGCAACTTCTGATATGTGGACTTTAACCCAGAATTTCCAGCAATGGGTATGCTGGCTGAGAAAATCTAGAAGTTGAACTCCCTGTATCTGCAAGTTACCATATTTAGAAAAAAGAATAGCTATAGGAATCTGGGCATCCTTTGTACCCAACATTCTCTCTGACTGGCTGTCAGAAGTAATAATGTAACTGATCCCAGGAAACTACCGTATAAATTAGGGATTCTCCTTATGTGACAGAGATGATCCACCACTAGGTGGATTCACAATTGGCTGGCAAACCGTACTCAACGAGTAGTCCTTAATGGGTCTAAGTCTACATGGAGGGAAGTAAGCAGCTGGGTGCCACAAGGTTCCGTCTTAGGCCCAGTACTCTTCAATATCTTCATTAACAACTTAGATGAGGGAATAGAAGGGGAACTTACCAAATTTGCAGATGATATTAAGCTGGCAGGAATAGCTAACACTCAAGAAGATAGGCTCAAGATCCAGATGGATCTTGACAGATTAGAACACTGGGCCATATCTAATAAAATGAAATTCAGTGTAGAGAAAAGTAAAGTCCTACACTTAGGCAAGAAAAACCAAAGGTACACATATAGACTGGGTGAAACCAGGCTCAATAGCAGTAACTGTGAGAGGGATCTTGGAGTCTTAGTGGACAACCAGCTAAATATGAGCCAGCAGTGTGCAGCAGCAGCCAAAAAAGCTAATGCAATCCTAAATTGTATTAACAGAGGGATACAATCAAGATCAAGGGAAGTACTAATACCACTCTATAAAGCCTTAGTAAGACCACACCTAGAGTACTGCATCCAGTTTTGTTCACCACATTATAAAAAAGATGTTGAGACTCTAGAAAAAGTACAGAGAAGAGCAACCAGGATGATTAGGGGACTGGAGGCTAAAACATACAACGAACGGTTGCAGGAACTGGGCTTGGCTAGTCTAGTGAAGAGAAGGACCAGGGGAGACATGATAGAGGTCTTCCAATATTTGAGGGGCTGCCACAGGGAGGAAGGGGTCAAGCTATTTTCTAAAGCTCCTATAGGCCATACAAGGAATAATGGATGGAAACTGAACAAGGAGAGATTTAACCTGGAAATAAGGAGAAACTTTCTGACAGTGAGAACAATCAACCAATGGAACAGCTTGCCCTCGGAAGTTGTGGGAGCGCCATCACTTGAGACTTTCAAGAAGAGATTGGACTGCCATTTGTCAGAAATGGTGTAGGGTCTCCTGCTTGGGTGGGGGGTTGGACTAGATGACCTATAAGGTCCCTTCCAATTCTGATTATCTGTAAACATCTGACAGCAGAGAAAAGGTAGAAACCTGAATATAAATGTACAAATATCCCATTTTGTGCTTACAGGTGTGAAAGCTGTAGTGCTGTCTTCCACTCAGAATGCAAAGAGAAGGCCGTTCCATGCCCCAGGTGTGTGAGGAGAGAGCTACAGATGAAGCAGAAATCTTTCTGGAGAAGACTGAATATGGATGAGAGCTTGGAAGAGGCCTGCAACATGTTTGAATTGTCCTATCAGAATACATGATCTGAGGGGGAAATGTGACAACCTACACCTTTTCCCAGCTTGGAATGAATGCTCCTAAAGGCACTGGTTGATTGCCAGGGAGAATACTTTAGTACAAAAAAGTTGTATATGTATGTTTTGTTCCTGAATAGCTGGAGTTCAGAATGCTAAGAAAAAGGCTAAATTGCAATTATGAATTGGTTAGGGAACCAACTGGTGTTACACCAAAAGTAGTTTGTTTGAAATATTATCTGCATTGATTGCATTTTCTTTGCATTGAAAGCTCTCATTAGCTTGTATTTATTATTGGACTTCAAGTGATTTTTTTTTTTTTGGTAGAAATAGATGGGCATTGCTATTTAAAGTTCACAAACTACTTATGACAATGGGCCTGTGGATAAGTATTTGTAGAGCTTTTTGCAGCTTAGAAAGATGACTTAATAAACTGCTTGTATGAATATTTTCTCTGCTCCCCCAAAATCAGTCTAGGTCCATTTTAGAAGCACAGCATGGTAATTGTCCTTACAACCTCTGTAAGCCAAGTGCTAAAACTTGCCTAAGTCTTGTATTAATATTCCAGAATACTAGAGAAATTGCTTTCAGTGGTGAAATATTCACAGTTGAATACTTGTTCATGACATTGTTGTTCACAAATCATTAATTCAGATTCTGATTGTCTCACATGTAACACCATAAAGCTTGAATATTTAATCCCCTTTGATGTTAAATAATGTACTGTATATTGCTTTGCTCATACCTTGTAGAAGAAATTTCCTGCACTTGGATGATGGAACTAGAATCTGACTCTTTGCTGCAATTAACATTCCTATTCTATTAGTATATATACCAAGGCTGTGTGTACTGTAGCAGAGTCAGTAAGAGCTTGAACACTTCACCCTGAAAGTGAAATTTCTTGTACACTTTTAAATACTGCACTAAGAAGCACTGGGACATATGTTTTAACCACTTAACATGCAATATTTGAAAATAATGAAAATATTACAAAATGGTTCCAAATCAATCTTTGGACTTTCAGTATTCCTTTTTTAATATATAGCAGAGGGAATATTGGAAGTTTTTACTTCTGCTTTCAGCTAACCATAATTTAACATATTCCAGCCCAGACAGCAACAGGGATTAGCGTTTACTATGATTAATTGAAACAAGACATCTGTAAACCTTGTTTTTGATGTTCTCCTTGCTATAGTGAAGGATAGTACAAGTTAAATCTGGCTTGGTACTGGTATATATCAAATCAAGAGTAGCCACTTAATTTGTGCAGGCAAAGGAACACTTTTTTATTTCTCTCTCTACTTCCTCCCCTCAAATTGCAAGTTACTTTCTCTGCATGTGTTATGTTAATTTGTTATAGATTGACTGTTGGCAATTGCATATCTGGAAGACAAACAGCTAGAGAGCTGGCAATGACTAGGACAGGGGTGTCAAACCTGCATCGTCACGTGATGTATCAGGACTTTTTTCCCCTTTGCTAAACTGGGCAGGGGCATGGCCAGCCCGTGATGAATCCGGCCCATGGGCTGCAAGTTTGACAGCCTTGGACTAGGAAGAACCACAAAGCATGTTATTTAAATTTATTTATTTATTTATTTTATAATTTAATTTATAATCTTGTTGATGTACTGCTTGGTTCTTCTGGGCTAGTTGGCACCCAGTTTTTATGTGCAAATAGGCTAACCGCAAATGATGTTCATAAGGAATGGTCATCTGCTTTGTCTTTAAAATTACTTTCATATATGTATAGAGCTATGCATTTGTCAGTAAGTTGAAGCCCATATATTACATTGAGATTCATTTTCATTGCTTCGTTTACTTAAGTATAAGTAGTAAAAGAGAGAGAGAAAGAAAAAATGAGTGATTGTGTATTTTACTTTTGCATGATTTCCAGAATCCAGAGTGAAGAAGAAGTTGGTATAAATAACCTGTTTTGTTTTGTTTTGATGTTTGCTTTTGGGAAGGGGATATCTTTTTAAGGCAGATTGGGCAAGTGAATCAAGCATGTGGAATGTGTTTGCTAACTTTTTTTCAATGTATTGTAAAGTTTTATTATTTTTGTACATCTCCTTAAGTTGCCCCATCAATTTCTTCATTTTATCCAATGAGTTATTAAAAGTGAAGTTAAAGGATGGTTTTAGTGTGTCATTGCATACAGCTCCTATCTACCACCTCATTTCTTTGTTTTGTGTTCACTATGCTCTTAATGTTGGTTCTCAGTTTGCTTTTTTGGAACAATTGGTTGCTACTACAATAGATGAATACTGTCTCAAGTATATATATATATTACGAATCAAAGACCTCCCTCAGTTTCCTGCTTTGAAATTGCCTTAATTTACTATTCCTCTGCAAGAAGGAAGATATAATATAAAATGTTTGTCAGTTTATGGAGGTCTCATGGTGATGCCAAGAGTTCTTAGGATATTTTTGAGATTATGGCTGCATTTATTTTGGTCTGCAAGTCAACCTATAGTTATCTCTAAGAAGCTTAAATAACACAGCAACCACAACTGCCACTCAATGCAAAATATGTCTGTGTTGAAGAGAATGCAGGCATTCAGGGTTGTTGTTCAGAGTATATTTCTGTTAACTGCATTTGCATGGGATCTGATAAGCATGTTCCCCCAAAACCTTCAAACTGCAGAGTCATCACAATTCTGCAGTTCAGTGGCACATTTTTAATTCCAATGGGACTTGTGTTCAGTATAATGCAATCTTTGGAACCACAGGTATGTCCCAGCAAGGACTTTTGATGCCACTTGCTGATTTCCCCAGAAGGTCCAGCCAGTGCTGCTTCTCTATGTCACCCTCTGCCACCTCTGCATTCCTTCCTACTATAGAAAATCCATTAAGGAGGGAAAGATGGAATGACCACAAGGATAACAAGGTGCATGTAAAGCAATATTTTGGATATCCAGAATTGAGGCATTTTTAATTTGATTAGTGCTAGGTATAATTTGCTAACTCTTTAATTAGAATGTCTATGGAGATTCTCAGTCATCCAGGTCATGGTTTTCCCAAAGGTTTTCCAAGAGGCAATGGATTTTCTGTTTTTTCTTTGAAGACATTTTGCTTCTCATCCAAGAGCTTCTTCAGCTCTGATTGGATGGTATGGAATGAAAGGATTTATACTCCTTGCAAACAGGTGGTCATTTGCATTCTTTTAGAGAGTCATTGAGTGTCAGCTGGTGCTCCATTCAAAATCCAAGAAAGACTCCATTAAACAGAGAAAAGATATCTTTTACTGGAAATCAAGTGGTAGCAACAAAAGAATTCTGGATCTGACAAAAGGAGTGCGTAAATCACATATACAAAGTGATGGCAACGTTCCCACCCCCAATAGTTCAATTGGCTCATCCTACTAAAAGTGGTGTATATCATCATGTGGGTATCTCCAGGTGGTGATGAGGCCTCTGACCGTTGACCTTGACATATTTTGATAAAGAGTTGCAGCTGTGCATAGCATAGGATAGAAACCTAAGCAAGAATCTACCCCCCCCCCAGCTTATACAGTTCTGGTTTGTAACACCTCCAGCTCACTTCCCATAACCATTCCCCCCTCCCCCGGTTACTTATGACAGCCAAAAGATGCAAAGCAAAGGGAGAAAATCTTGAAGGCTGACATTGAGGCTACCTGGAGGTTTATCTGTGTTGGAGTCACCTGAGTAGTGCAAATGGGTGTGGTGCCTTCTTGGAACTGTTGAAAGGACTGTGTTGTAGACTGGAGATAGATGATGTCGTATCACGCATCCCTGTTGAAAGACGGCTGCTCAATTTTTGATATAGATGGCAGATGGACTAGGTTTGTTCTCCTGTGTTGTGCCATGAATTTAAGAAGTGGTTGTTTTATTTTCCCCATGTTTCACCAATGTACAGTTTTGCACATGTCTCACTGCATTGTACTGCATAGACCATGTTGCTCAGCTTGTATCTTATCCTTGGAGTGGACAAGCTTCTGCCTTAGATGTGAAGATGGAAAAGAAAAAGAACTAAAACACATCAAGGAAGCCCTCAGAATGTTTGACTAGCCCAAGTGGGCCTTCATCAAATATCAAAAAAGACCCAGAAGGAGCTCCTCCATAACAAAGAGAGAACAATAAACGAAGAAGAGAACAATAAATGAACCAACATTGTCATTCCATATGTTGCAGGAATACTGGAAAAGCCAGGAGGATCTTCAGCCAACACAACATACGTGGACACTTCAAACCCAAGAATATATATGTGGTACAATACAATAAGCCATGTGCAGATCTGTATATTGGGGACATAAAATGACCACTTTATAAACACGTGGAACAACATAGGAGAACAAAACCATTAGGACTAGATTCAGCAGTCCATCTACATTTGAAAGAGAAAGGCCACTCTTTCAAAGACAGCGAAGTCCACATTTTGGGCAGAAAGGACCGCTGGTTTGAAAGATGTTCAAAGAGGCTATCTGTGTCAAAATTGAACAGCCCTCTCTCAACAGAGGGAGAGGGCTATGACATAATCTATCTCCAGTCTACAACACAGTCCTTTCAACAGTTCACACCTATTTGCACTACTCAGGTGACCCCGACACAGATGAACCTCCAGTGGCCTCAATGACTCTAAAAGAATGCAAATGACCAGCTGTTTGCAAGGAGTATAAATCCTTCCATTCCATACCATCCAATCAGAGCTGAAGAAATTTCTTGGTTGAGAAGTGAAATTTCTTCAAAGAAAAACAATAAGGTCCAATTGCCTCTTGAAAAAGCACCTTTGGGACATCTTCAATTAGAATGAGATTTTGGCAGACTGTGACAAAAAAACTTTTGCCAGTGCTGGAAAGATTGAAATGGCTTTTGTTACTTAACAAATGGGGAAGAGCTATACAGCCATTCCTGGGGAAATCCACTCTATCCCCTTTCTACCAAAAACCAGTCTCTATTGCAAGCCCAGCCCACTCTTCCTTGGGGCTGCTTGGCTCACCTTTGCAAATATTTATACAATAGGAAACTTCCCATTTGGGAAAGTTTTTCCCCTGTTTAATCAATACATTACAGTACAATATTTTACTTGCTGCCATAGATAATGTAACTAAGGTTACTGCTATTTCACTATATAGACTGAAGTAAACAGTTTATTGCTTTGGCTAGAAAAGAATAATAATTTATATACAAAATTAAAATTGCACCTTGGTAAATAGAAATTTTCACAGGATCTGGCAATATTGATCAGAACAAGTGTTGATACTGGAAGCATACTGCTCTAATAGGAAGCTGCTTTCTACACATGGGGGGGGAAAAGGAACAGTCAACAAGTATGAGAAAACAGGACATCCCGTGGGCAGTATTTTGGCAGTATGACTTGGCCTCAAAAGGCTGCCTGTCTTTTGATTGCTGATTCCTTTTGGATGTGATGCTATGCTCTTCCTGACACCAAGTCACGTTGAGGGGACTCTAGAATTACTGGATATCTGAATTTACCTGCTAAAATTGTGTCTCCTTTTTATGCTGCTGCATTGATGTGGTTGTTATTTATGGCATTATTCATGTAATAGGTCTTCTATTGCTTTTTGGATTCTTTCCTGTGCAGACATGCCTCTGGAATTCTAAATATCCAGAGGAGGTTTCTAAAATGGGATGCCTAAAACATGGATCTAATCTAAGAGATCCCAAAACATGGATTTATGGCAATTGTTTTTGGTGCTAGTACAGGGAAAGCGCATATAGCTTTATTAGAACTGGGATGCAACATTAGCCATTCATTGACTGGATGATTTCAGCATATGGAATATATGAAGCACTTTCTGTCTTGCATGTAAGCATCACTTAATATCTTAATATTTATTTATTAATTTAATAATAATGATAATCAGACATAATTATCATTTGGGAATCCATATCTAAAAGGGATGAATGTTTTTCTTTTGACACCTTATTGAGAATTAAGCAAGGAGGTATTATTACCTCTTCATATCTAGAAACAATTAAAATTCAGTAATTGTATTTGGAAATTACAATTAAAAATCTCATACACACTTAGATGGATTTGCTTGTGATTAAAACAAGTAGTAGCATAGGGTTAATAGTTAATAGTAGCATAGGGTTGGCTCCTACCTCTTGTTAAACTGAAGCTTCCAAAATTATTGTGTTGTGCATATATGAATAATAATACATATAACCAGGTATCCAGTATTATTTGTGTTTATAGCAACCTCATTTATATAGAAATTAAAATAGACAAAGTTCCTTCCAATCAATACGTTCTCAGACTAGAATGTTCCTGGAAAGGTTTGCAAAGCCACTGCACAAAGATGTTTTGATCAGGTGAAAAAGAAACAAAAGATGCTGCCTTGGGCAATCCAAACCTTGCAGCTCTGAAATGCCTTCCTAACTAACAAGGATTTCAATTATAACATTTTTTCAGTGCTCTTTGGCAAGACTGGAAATGTTTCTCCCCACAAAGTCTGTTTTCTCTGGTATGTGTTTTGTCCTTTCCGTGCACAATAGGACAACATGAGAGGAGGGTGATATTTTAAGTGTACAACTTCCTTTGTACAAGATCCAGTTGCCAATCACTAAGCCCCTGGTTTAAAGGATCTTGGATAGGAAGACTAGAGTAGATGCAGAACAGTGCACATAGTGGCAAGCCAGATGGACCAATCTAATTTTGGCAGTTTTCTCTAGCAAAATATGCTATGTGCTTCCATTTTCATGACAGAAATATAAAATATTTAATGACCATGGATTACAGCAATAGAAGCATCATGTCGAATAATGTGCTGGGGGGGGGGGGGGCATATAGGATTCAGTTGGCAACCTGAAGAGATGTTTGCCAGTTACAAATACAGTGGAAATGTACTTTAGATTGATAAATAATGGGAAATACTTGGATAAATTTAAATGATTTGTCACCATTGGATTGTCAAATCAGGTTCCATTTTTGTGTATGTCTTTTGAAATAAATGGGAGAACTTTAATTTAAAAATGGCCGTTGTATTTTACTTCATAAATTCACTGTTGTAGAAATTCTATACACTTTGCTGTTAAGCTGTGGTTTAGGTATAAATTGGTACATAGGATCAACAGATTTTTGTGAGCTGATTTTTTTTTCCCCAAGAGAATAAATTTATGGGTTAAGAATATGTGATTGTATGAAAGCGTACATGTATAGAATTGTTATGATGCTGAATTAATAGGGTAATTTTTAAAGGTGTGGGTTTTTTCAAATATATTTCATATGAAAGAATAAGTTCATGTTCTTAGTAGAATGTTAACTTTATGTATTATTTCTAGGACCTGTTGTGCAATATGTTAAGGTGATTATTTATACAATTATTGGGGAAAGATATGCCTAAATGATTCATTAGCTAAACACTGGTAAATAGTATCGAAGTTGTATCATAATTAACAGTAAATGGTCTTTTAAAAAAAGTTTTATTTTAATGAAGAATATTTCATTGTCGGTATACGTAGAAGTAACCGTAAGATTAGTAGTGTATTTCATAGTTTACTCTGGTGTTCCCCCCATGTTAATTATAGGTTTACTTATAACCAGAAAAGCTCTGATTGTCTGGGTTATGAGAAATTGCTTGAGGTACACAACCAAAATAGCTACTTTGATGTAATTGTGAAGGCATCAGGTTAGAGACTAGGAGATGGGAGCTCTGGTCCCATCTTGGGCATCAAGCCAGCTGGTGATCTTGGGACAGTCACAAACTCTCAACACTCAGAAGGAGATAAGAGCAAATCACTTCTGAAAAACTTGCCAAGAAAACTACATGTTTAGAAGTTGACACTACAGTTGCCAGAAGTCAACACTGACTTAAAGAAAGAAAAAGAAACCCTACAGCATATCTAAAAGGTTCTTAGTCTTGAAAAGTATATCATGCTGATCAAATTTGGAAACTACATCCAAATTATTTATAATACCATTCCACACAGTCAGAAGTTTTCGCTATGCCTTTAGACTATAGAACATGGGTGTCAAACTGGTGTCCCGCAGGCCAGTTGTGTCACATGCAGGCCACACCCATCCCCGCTCTGTGAAGGCAAAA